GGTATAATAAAATCTGAAAGTGACACCTAAATATGTTTGTACGTTGCAGCGGGAGAAAAACTAACCTCACTCTCCCATCCCAGTAAGCAAATGATGATTTAAGCCTAAACACGGCCTAAAACATAAGCGATGATTTGATTTGCGATACACATCAATTATTCCCAGATGAATAAAAATTGGGTGCTTTCAACAATCAGTACTATAGAAAAACTAACCTTGATTGATCAATGTGAGCTTGCACGGGTAGTTGTTCAGTTACTCCTTTGCATATACCAAGATATGCAAATTACCACAAGTAAGTGTCAGTTTTCCTGAAAGCACGATGAAATGAATAATATGATTTTGGCCTTGAACATGACCAAAAAAAAGTAATTCTCCTTGAAGATGAACAAAGAAAGGTAACATGCATGCCAATCTGCGTTGCACTGAGAGGATCCCAATCCTTGCATACTATTTCTCTAGCACGCTTCGAGTTATGCAAAATGTATATCATGTCAGATAGAAATACATGCCGGCGAAAAAACAGAATTGAAGGAATATGAAAAATTGAAAATACCTCATTCTCTCCTCCTTGTATAACAGTTATTTATTGCGAGTCAGTTAAGCTATGAAAACCTGATGCATGGACGCTCAGCTAGGAAGAGCAGAAAAGAAAAAAAATCAAGCAGTTATTAATAAAAGACTAACTTGACTCATTGAAGCTAGGGTTGTGCACCTATTAGTTGAATCACGTGCAAGTTCTCAGGGAGCAATTAATCCATCCATGTAGTCGCCGCCGGATCGATCCACCAGCCTGCTTAACATGTACTCATGTGTTTAGTTGGGAAAGAATCAAGGTAGCCGGCACCCTGCAGCTCGTAGCTAGTTTGGACTCCCATCTATATATTTTTGGGTCAGGCTACGACGTGTGGCCGGCCACTTCGCTTTTGTTTCAGTTAAGTTTCCTTTAAAGGTATGTCCTGGTTTTGTTCATATTGTCTCAGTTTTTTTTATTTGCATGTATGTTTGTCAATCAGACAAAACTAAAAAAAATAGTGCATGTAAAATACTCAAAACAGGACGAAAGAAAGCGAAACCAAACCATAAATATCTATTCTCTTTAATGGCAACATATCTCGTGAATCCGATGGATAAGTGTATCCCTGTATCCCTCTGCTCTCAGCCTCCCGATCAAAATCTTTTGCTCTAGATTAATTTGCAGCAAATTTACATTTACACGCCCGCCTCTAGCCCATACCAGCAGTTTTTCTTTGCAAAAATAACCCTGGACGTAGGACTGCATCGTGCACCGTAATTGACTACTCACGGTGTTCCTCTGATCCTCTCTCTCGCAGTGGCATGGAACCCTAGGCCGAACGCCCGCGCTCCTCTGCTCTCCTGTTGGAGCGACGGCATCTACCAACAGATGCCCCGTGCAAGTACATATCTTCCTAGTTGATTTGATCTTGGCGTTCATCGGCAGCCGCCGGCCCATGCATGAATGCAAGTCCTGATCTCTATATCTTGTCGAGCATATAAAGGAAGACGCAAGAGCATGGGCTCGTGCTGGGGCCAGCGGACTTGGCCACCTCATTGGTGAGATCTAGGGCAGTTCCATAGGGCCGCGCACTCCTTAGCTCTGTCCGCGCTTGTGTGTCTCGCTCACCCAGCTGTCGTGTTTGTGCTTGCGAGCTCACGTCTGTAATTGCTACAATCTATTCCTTCTATCAATACAATAATACGCAAGTCTTTTGCGTATTCGTGAAAAAAAAGATGCGGAATATGCTAAGTTATTGGATTTTTCTACTGATGTCAATAAATTTATGTAAGCAATATTTAAAGTATTTGTTACGAAAACGGTCCGCATCTGTTATAAGAGTTCACCATAATTGCATAGCAAACCCAACATAATGAAAATTACATAGACTACAATGAAGGATATAAATATACACCAAATCATTCTACACCAAAATGTTTTTCCAGCAAATCTAGTCTTTCTCTTTTTTTGTTTACTTTTAAAAGCACAAGCTTTACCATGCATTTATTTTATAAACATATGTCTAAGGCTAGTCATAACATGAGTAACTGACTTAGTAACATAATGCACTTCAAGACAAATTTGTTTATGTAGCGGGTAGTTAATGAGGAGGGAAATGTTTGTGCTAACATCATATATATCTAGACAAACTAGATGATGTAACAAATAATTAATGAAGAAAAAGAAGTTTGTGGTAACATAAATATGTTACCGTAACTTATATAACCAGATAAAATGAGTCTACAACCTAATAAACAAAATATTGCATGACACCATACATATGTTACTACCCACAATAGAGGTAGGAAAACATCTACAAGCGTGTTCGATCACCAAATCCGGCCACTCAAACGCCCGTAGACGTGCCCGGACACGTCTGCGCGCACTAACCAAACAATCCTCTAATTATGTCCTCCACATATGTATATCTCATATCCGATACCCTATATCCATACTAAGCATGCAACATGAATAAGAAGTATGTAGTGCGTTGGACAAACTATGAAATAGACATTGATATGCACATTTCGATCACCAACGGATCTCTAAAAGCTAGTCAAAGTTCACATAATCCACATTCATGATGGACAAGTTCTAACTAGAGTACTAAATAATTAGAAATTAACGACGTTGACGGTGGAGATTCACCAATTTGTCGTCGGGCCTTTGCCCTTCCGATCGTCGGCGCAGCTGTAGGCGTCTGCGATAGGTGGTGTGTCGTCGGAGGTGGAGCTGTGGTCGTCGCTGTCGTCAGATGAGGAGTCGGAGATGATAAGGAGCCCCTTCATCTGTCGGGTAACCCTGCATGCCGTCGCTTCAGCTTGGCCACCCGAGCCGCCTCCGCTGCCTCGCGCTCCGACTGCTCAATGACAAGCCTGTGATAGCCTGGCTTATTATGGATAATAGACTACTCATATCAATAAGGAATTCCTTCTTTTCTGGGAGCCCATTCAGACAGAACTTCAAAGTTAAGCGTGCTCAGCTTGGAGTAGTTTCAGGATGAGTGACCGACCGGGAAGTTGCTCCCGGGTGCGCACGAGTGAGGACAAAGTGCGCAGAAAAGACTAGTATTAATCTGTGGGGCCAATCTAGATCCCGCCAGGAGTAACGGCCACCGGCGGGTGTGTCCGGGGCGTTACAAGTTGGTATCAGAGCCGACCCTCGCGGTTACACGGATGTTTGCGGACAGGTGCGCGGTCATGTTGTTCATGACGTTTGTGACCCGTCGTGGCACACGGCATGGCACATGTACCGGACTGGATGCACAGACGTATGTGCCAAGAGGGAATGTTCATGTGGCCCGATGAGGATGTCGGTTCCTCTGAGTGGGGGTGTATGTGATAGCTTGGCTCATTAGGGATAATAGACTACTCATATCAATAAGGAATTCCTTTTTTTCCAGGAGCCCATTCAGACAGAACTTCAAAGTTAAGCGTGCTCAGCTTGGAGTAGTTTCAGGATGGGTGACCGACCGGGAAGTTGCTCCCGGGTGCGCATGAGTGAGGACAAAGTGCGCAGAAAAGACTAGTATTGATCTGTGGGGCCAGTCTAGATCCCGCCAGGAGTAACGGCAACCGGCGGGTGTGTCCGAGGAGTTACAAAGCCGGAGCGCCTTCGCGTTCTTCCTCCGTGGGCGGCGAGCGTTCATCTCCGCCATCGTCAGCGACCAACGGTAGACCACAAGCGAGCAGCCGCTTGTCCTCATCGGGCTCCGCCGATAACACGGGGTGACGGATCATGGATTGCTTCGAGCTTCCCTCTCCCTTGTCGCTGCCTATCGTGGCGGGTGCCTTGCGCCTCCAATTCTGGTGCATGCGTCCGGGCCGGCGGGACGGCACTAGCACACACACCGCTACCCTTTCGGAGGAGCTGTCGACGGGGGAAGGAGACAGTGTGAGGGCGACGCGGACTGCGTAGCCATCGTGCAGCTGCGCGCAGGCCGGGAGGAGCCAGCTTCGGCATCCGTGCTGCACCGGGATGGGAGCGGCGACGAGGCAGATCCGGAGCTGCCCTTGTGTCTACCTTGGAAGGCTCCAGCGCAATGCGGTGGGCCAGCTCGTCGTTGATGTCGAAGTCGGAGCCCGAGTGGCTTCTGGAGCTCGACATGTTGTCGGAGTCGTCTTATTTGATCAAATCAGAGATAGGGGACGAGGGGACGTTGTGGGAGAGGAGAGTGGAGTAAGTTAGAGTTCGGATAGGGGATGGATTGTGGTTTTTTGTGAAGACACCATGTGGTCGGTGCTGGACCGGGCTGGCGTGGCGGACACGTCCGGGCGCTCTCAGGCCTCCCTATATCCGTCCTACATTTGGACTGGATATGAAGTGCGACGGACAGACTAGGTGTTTAAGACCGGTTTTTGAGGCGCTCAGGTGGTTTTTTTTACCAGTCGACGACCGGTCGGCCTGCACCGGGCATTTGTGACCGGTTTGAGACGTCCGACTGTAGATGCTCTAACATATGCATGTTAGTTAACCAAGTTACTCTCCACAATGATCAACCTAAAGTATTCTATACATAGCGCTTCCAAAAAAATTGAGTCTACAAGATAATAAATACAACCGTCTAAAATACTAATATTTTTATACATTTTATACTTTGAAGGTGGTAATTTAAACTAGTGTCACATCCCTATGACTCGTCTGCATTTGTACACGGTTAATGACAATTGGCATGATTTTGTAAGGTCACGTCGTTTGCCAAAATTGTGTTCATTATTGCATTAGACACACACCCTTCATTTCCTGAGTAGAGCTATAATTGCTAGTTATTCAGCATGGACTGTTACACGGTTGAGCTAAAACGCTTGGTAATTAAGACATTTCATTAGACGCACACCCTTCATTTCCTGAGTAATTTAAATTGGCAAATGTTTCCATGGCCAAGCTCTCCTATTTAAACGCCCACTCGCCTTCTCATCTCAGCTTCACCTTCGAATCCCTTCCTTCAAAGAAACTTCTCAAGGATCCCACGCCAAGCACTGCCATGGATCTTTCCATGGCTACCGGCCCGGAAGACTCCCTCCTCCTGCTCCTCCTCCCGGCTACCACCCTGCTCCCACCGCTGCTCGCCGTGCTCCTCCTCGCCGCCTCACTCCTGTGGCTCTCACCGGGCGGTCCGGCGTGGGCCTTGTCCCTCTGCCGTGTCCCGCCGCCAGGCCCACCGGGCGTGGTCACCGCGCTCTCCAGCCCCGTGGCGCACCGCGTCATGGCGGCGCTGTCCCGCTCTGTCCATGGCGGTGCGGCATTGATGTCCTTCTCCGTCGGCCTCACCCGCGTCGTCGTGTCGAGCCGGCAAGATACGGCGCGTGAGATACTCGTCAACCCGGCGTTCGGCGACCGCCCCGTGAAGGACGCGGCGCGCCACCTTCTCTTCCACCGCGCCATGGGCTTCGCCCCGTCGGGCGACGCGCACTGGCGTGCCCTCCGCCGTCTCGCCGCGGCGCACCTCTTCGGCCCGCGCCGCGTGGCGGCCTCCGCACCCCACCGCTCCTCTATTGGGACGCGCATGCTCGGCGACGTCGCCTCCCTCATGGCCCGCCACGGCGAAGTCGCCCCTCGGCGGTTCCTGCACGCGGCGTCCCTAAACCACGTCATGGCCGTCGTCTTCGGCAAGCGCTACGACGACTTCACAAGCCAAGAAGGCGCCCTCGTTGAGGAGATGGTAAACGAAGGGTACGACCTCCTCGGCACGTTCAACTGGGCAGATCACCTGCCATTCCTCAAGTGGCTCGATCTCCAGGGCGTGCGCCACCGGTGCAACAGGTTAGTCCGGCAGGTGGAGGCGTATGTCGGTAACATCATTCAGGAGCACAAGGCGAGGCGCGCCAGCGGGTCAGGCATTGCGGATGAGCTCTCCGGCGACTTCGTCGATGTGCTCCTCGGCCTCGACGGAGAAGACAAGATGTCAGAGTCCGACATGATCGCCGTCCTTTGGGTAAGGCTCGGCGAAACTCTCTGTACTCTACAGTCATACCGACAAAAAGATCCAGAGTACGACTGATTGCATTCAAGTCGCCGTCGTGCGTTTGCTAATAATACGGACTGTACGTTTCAGGAGATGATCTTTAGAGGGACGGACACGGTGGCGATCCTGATGGAGTGGATCATGGCGAGGATGGTGGTGCACCCGGAGATCCAGTCGAAGGCCCGGGCGGAGCTGGACGCCGTGGTGGGGCGGGGCAGGGCAGTGACGGAGGACGACGTGGCGAGGCTCCCCTACATCCAGTGCATCGTCAAGGAGACGCTGCGCATGCACCCGCCGGGCCCGCTCCTCTCGTGGGCGCGGTTGGCCGTGCACGACGCGCACGTCGGCGGCCACCTCGTCCCGGCCGGCACGACGGCGATGGTGAACATGTGGGCCATCGCGCACGACGCGGCGGTGTGGCCCGAGCCGGAGCAGTTCCGGCCGGAGCGGTTCATGGAGGAGGAGGTGAGCGTGCTGGGCAGCGACCTCCGGCTGGCCCCGTTCGGCGCCGGGCGGCGCGTGTGCCCCGGCAAGATGCTGGCCCTCGCCACCGTCCACCTCTGGCTGGCGCAGCTGCTGCACCGGTTCGAGTGGGCGCCGGCGACCTCGACCTCGGGGCGCGTCGACCTGTCAGAGCGCCTCAAGATGTCGCTGGAGATGGCCACGCCGCTGGTGTGCAGGGCCGTGGCTCGCTAGGGCCAGGGAGAGCTGCACCTGCATGCTACCGCCGCCGTCTACGTTACCTAGCCTGTCGGCGGCGGCAGCGTTACTTGCTTTATTGCCTAGTATTTATTGGCTAGCCGTTGGAGGCTAGCTTGCCAGGGTCTAGTGGTACTACTGCTTTTTGGTCATCTCCATGCATGCACGGCTAGCTAGCTCCGTCTTTGCGCGGCCGATCCGTTAGCCATTGAAGGAAGCTATCGCTAGCCATGGGTTACTACTCCTGCTCGAGGCCAGCGAGCATCTTGATAGGGTAATTTTGGTCTTCTAGATGGAGAGTTATTAGTGTGTTTTTGCTTTTGTTCGGGAGAAACATCTGGTGTCTGAGTGTGAGTTGTCATGTCGGGTCGTAGTAGTGTCGTTCTTCAAGAAAATTTGTAGTGAGATTTTGAATATTTTTGAATCCGTGAAACGTTTGCCCTGCAGATCTGCATGCCCATAACTTATGCTGATTTCTACTACTAGTACCGTCACTCTGAGATGTGTTGTTGCTAGCTTGTGCAAGAGTGAAATGGTATGCGTAACGAACTACGAAAGGCAACAAACTTACTAGTACTGGGCTGAGCACCACAACTCGTGACCCGTGCATGCATCGCGCTGCGCAAGAGTGAAATGGTATGCGTTACAAACGCCTTATCAGTGATGTGCCACGAGGTTCATGTGTTAAGCCGGTTGCTGCTAGTGTGCCAACGTCGGTGGAGCTACTAGTGCATGTTTCAATCTGCTAACCTCTGCGTACATTCTGACCCTCTGATTGAATATGGAAATCTCGGATTACGGTTTCAAAAAAACAAAAATCTCGGATTACATGTAGTTGGAGAGAACGTTGTGGCATGGTTTCAGGCTCTACGTATGTCCTGTCACTAAATGAAAATTGCAGTTGATGGTTGGTCTGGCTGGCTTGCCTTCATCTAGGTCAGCTGTTCAGGCAGGTCGTCAGTATATGTGCAGGGAGTCAGCAGAGTCAGTGTAACAAACTGTAGAGTGAGAAGTTAGCGCATCTACATACGGCTCGCGGACGCTTCCACGCGCGTTCGTGGGCAGGGACCGGAATTTCATTTGTTGCATCCGTATTCAATTCTTATATACATACAAAGACATGCAAAAGGAAATAGAATCTACGTATCACGACGATCTCTGTGCCCGGCTCCGGCAGCATGGGCGGCAGCTGCAGCTCCGGCTGCTTCGCTCCTGCCTCCTCCACCTCTATTTCAGCGTCGAGCTCGACGAAGAGCGCGCCGGTCTGCGCCTGCTCCCGTCGAAGGTATGCCCGGGTGGCCTCCACATTGGTCTCACCCTAGATGGACTCCAGGATGGCATGCTGCTCAGCCATCTCATCGGACTGGGCGACGGCGAACTCCGCCTCCGTCAGCTCCATGTTGAAGGGTTGCACCTGGTGGTGTGGCTCCTCCGCCTCCTCCACCTCCATCGAAGCCATCTCCTCCTCCGGCTCCGGCGAGTTCGGAGGCTGCCTGGCAGCGATTCGGGCGGCGCGCGCGGCTTCCCTCGCCCGGATCTACTGCTGGATCTCGTAGCGGCGCTCCGGTGTCAGCATGGCATAATAGGTGATCTTGCTTCGGACCATGGTGGAGTGTCGGAGCGTGGGCAGAGCGCCGGAGCGGGAGAGGGAGAAGGTGGAAGGGCTCGGACTGGCGGCGCGGAGAGGGGGAGGGGGATGGGTTAGGGTTGTGGGACGCCAGTCGGTTTAAATAGCCGGATGTTGTCTTGGGCGGCGAGCCGGAGCAGCGTCACACGTGTTCCCATTGCGGCGACGGATGCGGCGTCCATTGGAATGTCGGGTTTTCGGGCGTTTTTGTGTGGGGCCACGTCATTAGGCCAATGTGGCGAGCGTGCCCGGGTACCCTCATATCAGCCCCACCCCCATATCTGCCCCATATTTGAGCTGGATATGAGGGTGCCGATCAGCCCGGATGTTTGAAGGCGGTTTGAAAGGCCCATCTGGATCCAAATTTCATGACCGGGCAGCCTGCCTCACTGTTTGAGACAGGTTTAAGGGGTCCGTTTGAGATAGTGTATGATACATTCGTTTGAGCGACAACTAATTAAAATAGGACAGAGAGAGCTAAGCATCTTGACAGAGAAATCTTCAACCTGTGCAAAATCTGCATGCAGCGGCGCCGAAGAAGTTTCTGGAAGATGGACTCTGGTGTTTGTCAAGCTGAAGATGGACTCTGGGTTTTGTCAACCTGACCGAAGATGCTCTTCCCTGGTTTTCTGTTTTCTTTTCTTCCGTTTTCTTCTGTTTCTAGCTGGGCTGCCTACATACGTACCATCTGCTATCTCATCTCTTCAAAGTGTGATCACCCATACAATGCTTGGAGAAATTCGGTAGCCATGACAAAAAGAGAGGGGTGATGGGTGGGGGCATGATTCCGGGACCCATTCCCTGCCTGCCATGTTCGTTCTGATATGATATCTCGCTTTTCCGACGAAGGAAAAATAACATATCTGCGACGTGACAGGGGGTCTAGGCGCGTGCGTGCACTTTCCCTGAATGGAAAGAAACTGTGCTCAGTGCTGCAGGTAGCATAGTTTATGCCACTGTTAGAGACGGAACTTAGTTGGAAGCAGGGGCGAGTGGGGGTCATCATCTCATGATTGGCGCAATCTTCAGGTGTGGGCGAGACTGAGAGGGCGACGGCAAAGATCTCGCAGAATCACATGCGCTCCTGCCGATAATGCTCCCGATTAGTCTTGTCCCGGAGAAAGTAAGTCGTGACATGCTTGTTTTCCTCCATGGACGTCGGCTCATCATCCATCCACTCCCTCCCACAAACAAAAGTGGAGGGCTTTGGCCAGGGGTGGCCAATATTGGTTCGACCTTCTCCCCGGAAAAATATCAACGGCTCGTTTTGGCGCAATCCCCGTATCTTAACGTATATTTGTGTTTAATTAAAGAGACTAGTAAAACGCCCGTGCGTTGCTACGGGCTATACTGTATATAAATGAATCAGACAAATTATTAATATTGAAACTTATTTCTCTCTCATACATCAACCTTAAGGTCGACGGCAGGTTCCCGCAATCTAGTGTAGCATAAACATGGCCATATTGAAGGGCTATACTGTATATAATAAAGGGGATTTGTTTTTACTGTATGTACGATACACTTTATGATACACTGTATGAAAAATGTAACAATGCGACAGTCCAATCTCCCACAAATCTAGACCATATTGGAGAGAAAAATGTCTAAACTATGAACCCTGTTATCTCCAACACACATACCCAACATAAAAACTCCACCCCATGACACACCCTTATGTTTTTCTGTCGGACCCTCCCCTTCCGCCCGGCTTTCGCCGTGGTGAGACATTTCTCGCTGGAGCCCTCTCCTGTAAAACGGGATGACGCCCACCTCACCTTCGCCATCGCGGCCTCTCTCCTTCACACCATACTTCCCCACGGAGGGATTGCATTTAGACGTCGAAAAAAATCGATGGCGAGGGAGTCATGGAGGAGGGGTAGAGAACGAACCGGTGAAAGCCAAAAAAAACTGTGTACAATGTTCGCTCCGCCTGGGTCATAGAGGAGTCCCCCTGGTAGAGGAGTTTGGGGAGAAGAGAACGGCGACGCGAGGACACATCGGGAGGATCGCAAGGAAGGCACGCTGGTAGAGGAGATCAGGGAGAAGAGGACGGCATCGCGAGGACGTCGGGATTATCGCGAGGAGGGCAGGCGATGGGAGGATTGCGTTCACATACACGTTAATGGGCCATCCCAATGTTGTAATGTGATGATGTCAAAGGTGGGCGAAAAGATAGGAGTGGTGGGATGAGGTGGAGTGAGGCGAGACTACCAACTAAGACATTAGTATTAGAGATTACTGAGAGTTGGTATAACATACATAATCCTTATGGAAAATGTTAGGCTGAATCTTTGAGTAAGTGAATCTATCTTGTAAACTCCATTGTAGACCATGCATACACATTATTCTCCAGAAGAACCGGTGCAGATTATTTGAAGGAGCTTGATATCCCATAGACCATAGTCCTCGTGTAGTCTTGCATTGAAAGATATATGTATGTAAGACAGTTAGCTTGGAATGAAATAGGTAATTAAAAGGAAAAGAGAAGAACTGAAATGAGGTAGAACTTCCAGTAGGGTCACATTTCATTACTCAGACTAACCAAAAATTTTAGAACCGAGTTCTTGAAGCTCTTTGTCTTTGAGGTCATCATTCTTTATAATCTAAAATGTGAACATTTGGTTGGTAAAGAACATTACGTGTTAAATATGACATGTTATAGCAAGCCTAATATCAGGACCACCTCTCATGGGCACAATCAACTCCCTAAAGCCTCTTTTTTTATCAGATGCATAATGCACATCACTTACCGAGGAAGATTTTAGCCTCTTCAACATAACAATCGGCAGACGCAGAGTCGCAGTACTGGCGCTCGTAGCCCTGGAACACCTCGCTGCTTATGATTGCTCCTCTTGATCGCCTTTCATGGCATGTATTAAAGATAAATGGTAGCTAACCAGACCTGGCCGCTGCCACCGCCGAGAGGAGGTTGAGTAGTCAGCCATTTGCGTAGGTGAAAGCTGCTATGCACGTCCTTGATCCATCGCCCGCCGTCCAGGATCGACCCATGCACTTGAGACAATACTGGGCGCGCATCGAAGCAAACTTCATGGCCATGTCCCGGATCCACCGCCCCCTGTCCTGCTTGATCCATCCACGGGAATCAACACCGGACGCACCGGCTCGTTGTCGATGCCGATGAGCTGTTTCATTGTGAGGTCAAGGGGGGCCGCGGAAGGGCCGCACTGGTGCCTGTGCTACGTGCTACTCGCTAGCGGCGTCAACTGGGAAGGGGCGGCTAGGGTTTGAACAGGGAGGAGGAGACACGGCTTGCGTGGATTTTTCTTTGCTTGCGTGCGTGGGTATGACGGTTTTGTTGGTTCTTTCGCCGGATCGCATGGGGATGGGACCACGTAATTAAGAAGAA